TGAACTCAAATTGCATCTGTAAGTAACAGTCTGTCTAGAGAAAAATTCAGTCATAAATAGTTGCCCAAAAAATCATGCATTGCTTTACATTTATTTTGAACATAACTGAAGAATGATTTTTCAGTGGATATGCAGGAACTCTTCAGTGTGGAGGTCCTTTCCATGTGGCTTTGCCACTGGGACTTTATGTAAAGTGGCTTCATTAATGTCGTGTCTATTTCCAAAGCATTTCTTCTGGCTGTTCCCACCCTTCTCCAAAGAGCTGTATCAGAAATCCATTCATTTTCAAGATACATATTTCACACTTCCCATCTACCACTGTTGAGAAAAAATAGTGGTGAGTGCTAAAACAATATGGACTAAACATTCTTTTAAAGCACCAAAATCAAGTACAGACTTTAAGTTCTGTTGTAGTGGACTTAAAACAAGGTACAAGTATGTAGCTACTCTCATAGTAGTATCTCATAGTAATCTTAACTGCTAATAAGTTCAGACTGCCGTGAGAAGCTATATTCTTCCTGCCTTCACAGTAAACCACTGGAAATGGTCACTTTAAAATTGGTATGTACTTCTGGATTTTTCCGCCAAAGCCAGCCCTTTTTGTTGGCAAATGAATGTGCAATATTTGAAAAATCTCCAAAGTGACTAAGAGGAAAAACTATTAAAAATCACTTGTTGTGGGGGGGGATGCTGAGAAGCAGAAATGAAGAATGCTGTAGGGAAATGCATTTGCAGGCGTCCCTTCTGAAAGTCTCATTATAATAGGCTGGTTTTTGTCACAGAATGACAAGTCTTAAGCACTTAACATCTAGCCCCCACCGAAGACTGATTTAAATAAAGTTCTGGTTATTCTGCAGGTGTGCACATTTAAACAAGAAACCCTCACATCAAACTTTGATGTGCAAAAGATAGAGGGCACAGTGCCAGCCTGTAGACCTGGCCCAGATAAGCACAGAGCCATTTGTCAGCACACAGAGACTTGTGAGCACCCCCAACACAGTTGTTTCCAAAGGGTGAAGTTCAGTAGCTACCTTAGCAGCATAACAGCAGCAAAACATTGTTAAATGTTTGTCAACTCCCAGCCCCGACCCCAGGCAGTGTTGGGTGTTTATTGCCACAACCGTGTCAGGTTAGAAATCTGTGACATCAGGCCAGCAGTCATTTGTAACAAAAATTATCTGAGTCTAAAGACCCACTAGAGGTGATGCAGAAACCCAAACGTCAAGGCAGGGCACTTTTCCAGATGCAACTTATATTTTGGTAAGATTTTACATCAAAAATGTTTCCATCTTTTAGTTTGTATTTTTAGCTATTTTTGTTTTGTTGCTTTTGTTTCCTTTTGAAAAAAGAAAATACCCAGCAATTGACTTTTTCAGTCTCCTAAATCTATTCAGAGCATTCCAAATGCTGCTGTGGTCCGAGAAGGATGTAGCAGTTGGTGCATTCTGCCCCTGGGAAGGGACCACTTCTCCCGAAGTTGCTGTGGTCCCAGTGACAGTAGTCAGCCCGACCTCATAAGCCTTCTGTTGTAAGCCCCAGAAGTCCCCTTACATGAGCAACTCCATGGCAAGCTGGAGTGCTTGGCCTAGAGAGGCAGCCATCTTTTGTTTCCTTTCACAAAACAGATAGTCTCAATTTCCAAAATTTGACAGGGTGCATTGAAAGCCCTATTTGCTATTAAGCCCATCTTGCATGTTTGAAATCACCAGTAGGCTTGGCAATAGTTTCCAAAGCGTAATGAATAGGATTTCTTCTGTGACAGTGAAAGACTGGTTCTCTCCTCCTATCTAGACAGGTAGCCAAGTGCTTTGCTCATGGCCACACGTGCCCTGCATTCCTAGGAAGATCCATTTCCCTTTCAGTACTTCCCTACTTGGACTCCCAGGAGGCCTGCAGCCCACGGGATGGACCTCCCCCCCCCACCTGCCACTAGAAACATACTTCCAGGGAGCTATCTCAGCTACTCCCAGTACCTCTCACTATGTCCAGCTCACTCCAGGAAGCCCAGAGAAAAGTGCCGTTCTGATTTGTCAGCTTTCTACAACTAAAGATGAGTGCAATAGACAAATAGAAAAGTATATAATAGGCTGCCATATGCCATTATACTTCATTCTGTCAAGTGTTAGTGGGGTCTGGGGCCCTTGAGAAAGAAGTCTAGTGTCCTGGACTAAAAGCAGGGTTGGGGAATTCTCTTTCTGCCACTTACTAGCTGTGTCTCTTCAGGCAAGTTATTTTATCTCTCTGTTACTTATTTTCTTTCTTTGTATGTGAACATAACTCCACCTGTCTTTCTCCAAGAATTTAAAAAATTAAATGTGTGAAGTGCCTAGAAATCCTGCCAGGAATACTTGTGAATACTTAATCAGTTAGGAATGTAATCATCCTAATGAGTCCCTCCATGCTCCTATAGAGTGAGGCCCGGAGAGCAAAGGGGAATCCGTTTGTCAGTGTGGCTAGTGACCCCTGCCTGGCTTTTTAACCAGACTTTGAACACTTTAGGCACAGTTTGAGGACCATCGTAACCAGCCATTGACATCCAACACACAGAGCTTTGTATCTTTATGGTTTTGTTATGTTAAGGGTATTTTGTAGAACGTCTTCTGTAATGTGTATCTGTATCATAGTGATTAAAGATGGACAGTACAGACTTGGGGGAGAAATCACAGGTTGGGGTTAGATGAGGCTAGGAGGTACTTCATTTAACTGTCTGCCTGATGGATTAGATATTCCGATTCCCTCCACCTTAGTTATAAACAAATGTGGCTGGCAAACTGTTTAATTTCAAACATGTTAGCTACCACATGTGAATTAGGTGGAAGCTTGAAAAGGTGCCCATCCTTCATAATGCCTATTTACAATGATAAAAATATTCTCTATCAATGCATTTATTCAACAGAAAGATTTTAGTAGCTGCCATGTGCTCAGTGACTCCTCTTGGGAGACATACATGCCTTGAAGAGCCAAGACAAGCACTTGAATTGTTTAATAAACAGGAGTGCAGCGTGCTCTAACAGGCTGTGAGTCTGCAGAAGGCAGAACTTCCAGGGGGCAGCAAGGACGACCTTCATACAGGAGGAGACTCCTGAAACTGGACCTTGTAGGAGGCATCAAAGTTAGCTGATGCTGGGAGCGATCTGTGACTTGGGAGTAGGCTCCAGAAAACATAAATTCATAGGTTAAGGATGCTCTTGTGATCTATCTGCAGAGATACTGAGCGTGCAGTCCCAGGGGGTGCCGCTTGTTTTCTTTTGAAACAAGTGCATAAATGCTAAATTATCTCTTGTTTGAATCAAAACACCTCAGAAGGAAACCTAAGGTATTCGAGTTAATGCTAAGAATCTACATGCTGATGTTGAGACCCTAACCATATAGGAATGTGTTGAAAGCTGCTGGGCAATGTATTTATAAATAGTTGGTGACCTAGAGGTTAATCAAAAGCCATTGGATGATCTCAGATCCATTCTTAAGGAGCAGAAGTGGGTATCAGAATTCTTGATTCAGCAGTCTGAAGTTATCCCAAGTGGAACCTCAGTAAGCTGAGAAGTCAAGTCTGAAGTAACACGCCTTTGTCTTTCAGTCTTCTAGAATATTCTTTCAAGCCATCAAGTGTTAGTTTGTACAGAATTTCCCTGAATGGTTTATATAATATTTCAAAGGAAAAAAAAAACACTCAAAGCTTTGGTACTTAGGATTTTCAAATGGACCATGTTTGAATTTTTTCTACAAACCAGAAAGTTGAATCCCTGAAAGAGAATAGAATATTGTTTTTTTAATGACTTAATGTTAATCTTTTTAAAGACAATCTTAAAAAATTTTTTTCTAATATTCTACTTAAAGAGCCACTAAATGCCAGTTTAATGGAGGTGGATGGGGGTTGTAATCATATTAATTTGGAACAGATAAGCAAAGCATCTGTGGGTTTTTACTCCTTCTATTAGCTTTACTCCCAAGAGTAAACATTAGTGTCCAAAACTCAGAAGTGTTTTAAAGGTACACTGTTTACACCATAAAAGTGTGACAACACGAGTGGAGTCTTTTAAAGATTTTGCCACATTGCCATCATCTTCCTTTTTGTGTTGTATATGTCCTGGCACGATTAAGCCACTCGGCCAATTACATCTCTCTGCCCCTCCCCCGTCTCATTAGCAGTTAGAGAAATGACATGTGTGACTGTTGTCTTCTTCAGATCAAAGGATACCCTCTTCCTCTCTGCAAGAATGAAGAGAAATTTGCCTTTCACAGAGTTTAGTATCACAAAACTAAGTCACCAAAAATTTAAGTTTATGAGTCTGCTGGGCAGTGGGAGGGAGGGATGACTTGGAACCTACCTACTAGGGACACTTAGAGCCAGTCTAAGCTCCCCTTGCTTCCTGTCCCATGAAATTCTGCAGAAGTGGGAGTCTGATGTTTGCCTGGTAATTTTAATATAGGGAAATTGACATGCTTTTAATAGTACCTAGTTTCAGAATGTTGGATAATAGGGTTGAAGGGAGTTTTGGAAATGCTTTCTCCCATATTTCATTATATCAGAAAATTAGGTCAAAGAATTTTTCTTTAAATAACATTCCCACACTGTCCATTTAATTTTTCATTTCTTCTGGGTTTTTGATGAGAAGATACCAATGATAATAGAGAGGCAGATCTTCTTAACCATTAGAAATTAATTTTGCTTGCTTTTGTAATTCCTGTTCTTATTTCAAGTTCCCCCTTTCTTGCTTATATTCCTCTATATAAATCATAACCTGGAACACTTGACATGATTAAAAAGGTATAATTTATTTGTGGAATTTATAGTATTTGGACTTTTTCCCTAGTGTATTAAGTAATTACTTAGCCATAGAGTTCAGCTTCTCTCTCCAGGAAATAAATTATTTTAAGCAAACATGAAAAATACTAGCCCCACCCCTTGCATAAAAGCATTATTAGACATGCCTACCAGGTTGATCTGCTGCTAATATGCATGGTCGGTATATGGATGCATGTGCTTTCTCTTCATATAGGCAAGGCAGCTTTCCTGGCATGAATCAGAGTGGACTCCTGGCTTCCAGTTCTCCCTACAGCCAGCCCATGAACAACAGCTCTGGGCTAATGAACACCCAGGCGTCCCCCTACAGCATGACGCCCAATATGGTGAACAGCTCGACAGGTAACCTTGGCAGCTCTGTGCTTCTGGGGCTGCCTCCCCTTCCCCCTTCCCCTCCTAGGCTTGCACCACGGAATGTACAGAAACAACTCAGGCAATGGCATCACTTGGTAAAAGGGGAAAAACACTGCTTTTCTGCTGCTTGGGAACTTGCTCAATCTACATAACTATTCTAAGACTTAAGGATTGCATTCTATTTTATGTACTTTCCTTATTCATTCTGTATACAATATGTGGACATATTTCAAGTGCCATTGGTAAATACACTGCTGAAGACATCCACGAAGTTCTTTTTGTCTTTAGGCACTACGAGGGGTACTGGAAGATCCCACGACAAGATCTCTGACTTCCCACTTGGCAGTGGTCGAGATAACCAGTTTGCATATTTCAGAGGGAATGACTGAGGGGCAGAACAAGGGGGTTGAAGTACTTTTTTTTCACTTAGGGAAACGCACATTTAACTACATATATGGAAATAGTTGTTCCATAAATGCTCTTTACAGATTGTCTCTATTGAGGAATTATGTATTATTTCTTCAATGGGCTATTTTGAATTTCCATTATGTTTAATTTTTTCAACCCACTTTATGTTCTCAACAGTTGCTTTCTTGCTGATCCCATCAGATTAGTGCAATAACGGTATTGTCAGTTTGTAGAAATATCAAAAATGTCCCAAACTGCAAATATTCCAATTTCTTAGGTTCCTTAGGCCCTGAGCCACTTCCCCAAGCCCCCTAACTACCCAATGACTATGATGCTACTCTTCAAATGAGAAAATGCTGTGCACTTTCATTGAGCTGTTCCTTCCTGGCACCTTGTAGAGTGGCGGGCAGCGTTTGGGGCAGGCCTCTCTCCTTCAGTTAGCACAGAGCTTGTGCAGCCCATGTGCGTGTCCTGCAGTACTTGGTCATGGAGTAGGAAACCTTGTGGAGTTAGAGGCTTGGCTCTCTCTTATCAACCTTTTTTATTTCACCTGCCTTATGCCACCTTTCTGACGTCTGCATCTTTGAAGGGCCACCCATGAGCTGCTGTTTCTTCGTTGGCAGAACAGCCAGCTTAGCGGCTCAGGCTTGCATCCTGTCTGAGCTTCTGAGTTGTTGGTTTCTAGGGTCTAATTTAATTGTGCCATTCTCTGGTTATTTCTCTCCAAAAGTTTATGGAAAAAGAAAAAATAGAAACTGCTACTGCTGGTGAAAATAAAGGTTTTTAAATAAAGTAGCCCTTCCTGATATTAAGCAGGTGGCCACTCATCCCAGTGAGGTGGATGTTTTTACATTTGAGATGAAAAGTGGAAAGCTCTTGAAGGGACTGTTAGCTAGAAGCTTCTGCTTCCCCTCTCAGCTCTGACCCAGGTAACTGTATTTGGGTTTGACATTATGTGTTTTGTCTGACTTGCTGAAATAAAGTACTTCAGAGCATTGAAACTACATAATAAATTTTCATCTACCATTAGCAATACTCATTTTTCCCTTTTTCCTTTGGACCTCAGAGCCACAAAAATAACCAACAGCAAATAGATGGCACTGGGCCCTGCCTAAGATTTATGTGTTCCTAAGAAATAACCGATTTAATGGAGAACCACAAAGAGGGTTTCTTATTATTATCATTCAGATAATTTAGTTCTTCATTATTTCATACAGAGGGAATCTGTTCAGTGAAAGGGCCATTTATCCTTACAGTCTTTTGTATGGGCTAGTAGTATTTTTTTTATTACACTGTGCATTTTGAAATACTGAATTTTTAATAATTTAAACATTTATCCAATTTTCTTCTACACATTTATGTGATTTTATTCCAGTCTTACTAAGTCAAATGCTGCCGACCTGATAGAAAGCGATCATCCAGCACATCTGAGGAATATTGGTGGTTGAGCATTTACTGTGCATCTCTTGATAGGTGCATGTGAATCTGCCAGACTGTGATACAGGCTCATAGGGCAACAGGAATGACAGGAAGCCAGAGTGTTATGGTGTGGCTTCTGCTGAGAGTTTTGGTCTGAAGGTATACACTTGACTTTCTAGAGGTGGGCCAGAAATGGTCCGTTTCTTGGACTATCACCTTGTCTGCCTGGTTTAGGGCCATGGAGATAAATTAGCAGTGATAACAGCAAAACATTTTCTCCATCAAAGGACACTTTTGGAGAAAGTGAGGCTAATACAGATGATGACCAGGGCTGGCAGGGGGATTTTCTAGACATCAGTTAGCAGCTTATGCAACTGGCATTCCAGCATCCTCTTTGCTAAGTTCAGACAGCTGTGCAGAAGACAGTGTACCAGGCCAAAAAGAGTCCTCCTGTGCTGTGACAAATCGTTACAGGCTTCAGTGAGCAAGTAGTTATTTAAATGGAGTCAGTGTGAGCATGAATGTGACAACTCTTTCTTCACTTAAAAGGCAGGGGAAATAGGGTGGTAAGCAATGGGGATTTTTCCCTCTAAAGGAGCTTTTTTAAAGAAAAAGTATTTAGATTAAAAGATGAATTATGTATTACTATGGTCAAAGTTATAAGTTGCATATAACCTTGTTAAATACACCCTTACATAGTATTTGTGTTGTTAGTTATGTTAATATTCATTTTTTGTTTTACAGCATTCATTAGCCATGTACATGTCTGCATATAAACCATCATTTTAAAGAGGACATCTAAATTCCAGGCAGTATATCTGCTATCTGTGGCTCTAGTTTGCCTCACTGGAAGTCACTACAAAATGTAGGGCATTTCCATCAGCACAACCTGCAGATAGTAAGCGAGTAGCCACCTGCCGCTGTAGCCAGGCCTTCCTCCCGGGGAGCCCTTTCGAGTTCCAGTAGGGACTCTTTCTGCCAAACAGCACTGCTCCATCCCAAAGGCAGGCCCTGATAATGTCCTGCCAGTATGGGGCACCCTAGCTCCAGGAGCCCTTACTAAAGAAGAGAGGCAATCACACACCACAGTATTGCCAGCCTCCTTCAGTGTTCTCAAAATTGAGAACCACCGAGAGCCTGCAGTGCTTGTTAAAACTACAGATTCCTGGACCCCCATCAGAATTAATGAAGCTGGGGCCAGGTGTCTGCTTTCCTAATAGACTCCTCCGGTGACTTTTGTTATGTGCAGGCTAGAGCTTGAGAACCACCGACGTGGAGGTATTTTGCTCAAGAGTCTCCATGCAGAACCGCTGTCCAGCTTTGTGTGGCATTAGCTGTTTGCCAGATGATTTGCTATTATGAAATTTTAAAAAAAACTGTACAAATCTGTGCCTAGAATGTCAACCTGCCAGATGGATAGCTGTGTTCTGTCTTGAGATCTACGCTCCTTCAGAAAGGAAGTTTGGGGTCTTCAGCCCCATTGCTAGTAGTGGAGGTTTCATGCTTGCTTTCTTGAAGTTAACGATTTTAGGTGAATTGCTGCCCTCCCAATCACCCACCAAAAAAGTAAATACAGAAGACTTGATAAATTATGAAAACCATACCTCTTAAACTGGGGAAAATGTGTACTGACCTTCTGCCAAGTATACTGGTGGCTCCAGACTTTCTGCATGGCGGGGGCTTCCTTGGAAGCACCATCCAACTTGCTGGCAAGGTTTGCCACTTTCCCTGAAGCAGGGATGCTGACCGCAGACTGGCCTTGCTCAGGCAGCGTGTTTCCTGGGGATGGCTGTAAAGGGGACAGGGCACTGGCAGGGTTACGGGGCGGTGCAGCTCACCCTGCCCCGCGGAAGCCCAGAGGCGTCAGGAGGTTCCTAGGGGGTCCTCCAAGGCTTTGTGAGTGTCCGGAGCTTCTCTCCTTAAGCTTTTCTCATATCCTTTGTATGTGTTATGCTAATGGTGGTCTTACATGTTTGCCACATGCAAAAATAGCTGTGAATATCTATATGTATATGTATATAGGCTATATATATAT